CGCCATTAAAGAGGAAGAAGGCGTCGAGGATGAGCTTTAATTGGGTCCTAACCCATAAACTGGCCGGGTCATGAAGTTTGTCCCCAGGTCTGGACAGGACTCAGCCGGACGCACTGTATATGGTTAGGTCAGGTTCTTCCGCTCACTTTTTTTTCACTTTAGTTGTTTTTTTCTTTCCATTTTTTTCTTTTTTATCTTTATCTAGATTAGTTAAAGAGTGAAACATTTATTTCATCTTGCTACAAAGTCTAAATCATATAATCTTATAATTAGTGATGGAGTTATTTCAAATGATAAAAGATTCATAATAATTTTAGCGTTTTCAATAAATCAAAATGACTATAAATAGTCATCAAATACTAAATATAGCTTAGAAAATCTCTAATACTGCTAAAATCGCAATTCAAATCTACGAAACTTGTAATTGTCAATTGAGTTGCTTCTCATATTATGTTGAAACATCTAAAAAAGATGTTAATGTCTATTTGGACTGCGAATTACATTACTAGTCTATTTTGTACATAGTTTGAGTTGCGTATTATTGTGACCTCAATAATACATCAAGAGTATCTTGGAGAGTTTTTACGAACATCAGACTATGGAAAGATAAAAAATCTACATTAAAAAGTATGAATTACTGCATGTTAGCCTGCCTCATGGGTCATGACCTATGGGTTGTTTTTTATAATGGGATGGACTTGTCGTGTCATAGAAATAAGTGTTGATCAATATTCAACTGGCTGACACATGTCTCAAGCATACCGCGCCCCAAGCCAGTCCAGACAGGTCGAGCAAGGTGTCCTTCATGGAGAAGAAAGGTCATTTACGGGCTCCTTTCTATTTCTCCTTGGCGGAGAGAGATCAGCATCTACTTTGGGAGATCGATTCTGATTCCTTCGTGGAGGAGAAAGGTCATCTACAACCCCCTTTCTTCTCCTTGGTGGAGAGAGATCAGCATCTACTTCAGGTGATCGATGCCGGTTCCTCCGAAGAGGAGAAGGTCATCAACAACCCATTCCTGCTCCTCATTCGTGGAGAGAGATCAGGCATCTGCTTCCGGCGATCGATTCCTATCCTCCGAGGTGGCGAAAGATCCTCATTAGCCTCACTAGATTCCCCAGCCATAGGTCTTCGCTCCGGCGATGGCGTGTCCAACTGCGCCATCGCCGCTGACGTGGCGCGTGAGAGATCACCATCCTTAGTTTCCGTCTGCATTAGTGTTCGCTATCCGATGGTGGCGTGTCCAATCTCGACCGTCGCTAGCGAGGCGGAGAGAGATCTGAATTCGAGATCGAAACCCAACCGCTTCCATCTTCCGAAATACCGTCATAAGGTTTCCGAGAACGAATCGCTTCGAGCCTCTTCAGACGCTTCACCTCAACATCTTCATTTACTGAAGGCACTTCGTCGTCTGCAACAACAAAACAGGAATCAGAGAACATGAGTAACATACAGTTCACCATGTCCATTAGGGTTCTATTCTTTCGTTCAGCTACCCCGTTAGACTGTGGTGTATAGGGAGCAGTAACCTCATGAATAATATCATGTTCTTGGTAATATTCAGTCATATGATTTGAGGTATACTACCCCCCACGATCAAATCTTAGAATCTTGATCTTCCTGTCAAGTTGGTTCTCAGATTCAGCTTTATACCGCTTAAACCTATCTAAGACTACATCTTTAGTTTTGAGAAGATAGGTATAACAATATCTTGAGTGATCGTCTATACAAGTCACAAAATACCTCCTGCCCCTTCGGGTGAGAACTCGGTTTGAGTCACACACATCACTATGAATTAATTTGAGGGGTTCGGAGTTTCTAGTTATAGACTTGAAGGGTTTTTTAGTGTGTTTCCCTTGAACACAGATTTCACACTTAGATGAGGGATCATAAGAAGATTTAGGAATGAGGTTTAATTTACTCATTCTCTGCAAGGTTTGGAAATTGATATGTCCAAGTCGTCCATGGCAAACATCACAAGACTCAACAATTTGAATAACAGAAGACTCAGAAATTTTATTAGAACTGGAATTGATTACATTGAGTTTGAAAAGACCATTACAGATAAAACTTTTTCCTATAAAAACATTAATCTTTGTAACCACAAATTTATTGGATTCTTTCACAATCCTATAACCAGCTCTAAGAAGAAGAGATTCACTAATCAGATTGCGATGGAGAGAAGGAACATGATAAACGCCTTGCAGATGAAGAGATTTCCCAGAAGTCATGGTGAGCTCTATACGTCCACTTCCTATTATTGATTTAGTGGAGTCATCTGCTAAGCTTATGCTTCCTCCACGTGATTCCTGATAATTTGAAAACCAAGAGCGGTCATTACAGACGTGGATATTTGCTCCGGAATCCAAATACCAATCAGTGGAAGAAGTTAGAGAATTTACAAGATGAGATGAAGAGGCTAACCTGAAGGAGGTTGGATTCATTTCAATCATATTAACTTTGTTGGATCCATTTCCTTTAGGGGCAGGTTTGGCTGGTTCCTTCTTCCGAAAGAAATAGTTGTGAGCCATGTGGTTGGTTCTACCACAGACAAAACAGAACTTCTCATCAGACTTATGGCTGGAAAAATTGTGATTTGATTTGAAGGAGGATTTGTTGAAAGATTGTTGATTTTTCTTGAATTTCTTCTCTTTGGGTTTGAAATTCTTAGATTTAGGCTTATCTTCTACCAAGTTTACTTTAGCTTTTGTTTCATTCTTGGTGTTGGAATTTTTCCTATGCTGGTCTTCAATACGAATAACCTTGAGGGTTCAGTTAAGGTTAGATCTCCTTGTTTGTGTCGGAGATCTCCAGCAAATCTAGACCAGGAGGGAGGAAGTTTGTCAATCAAACAGGAAACTTTATAATCGTCAGTAAAAGTGTTTCCTTTTGATTGGAGATGACGGAGGAAATCTAGAAATTCATGAATTTGTTCATTAATGGGCTTGTCATCAACCATCCTGAACTTATTGAAGGAGGAGGAGGTGAAACGCAGAATTCCGGCATCATCATAGCCATATTCTGCTTCAATAGCATTCCATAGGTCTTTTACACTTTTGAACTCATAATATATGTCATAAAGGTTGTCCGCAAGTGCACTAAGAATCCTATGACAACAATGATACTTAATTTCTTCTGGTTTCATAGAGCTGGAAAACGAGCTAGCACCAGAACCAGAAGTGGAAGGAGCAGGTTGAGCAGGATTAGGAGTCAAAGGTTGAGAACCACTAGTAGATGACTCAGAAGTGTCAATAGCAGATAAAAGACCTAAGGTAGTGAGCCAGTATTTTATCCGATTAGCCCACCATTTATAGTTAACACAGGTGAACTTCTTAGGTTTGACATTTTTTGAATGATCAGGAATTGCCATAAGTCCAATTCAAGTTTACTAGTCTAGGTAGATATAATCTGATCAAATAAAGGATTTTGTCAATACTACTAGATCAGAAACTTAATTAAACTTGCTCTTAACCAAAAACTCTAAAAGTGAAAAGATTAAAGTTTTACTCGGGTAGTTTGGCCAGAAAGGATAGTACTAGAGGTTGATCAAAGATCTATTAAGTACCTCGTTTCTTGCATAGCGCTTTACACAATCCTTAAACCTTGCCTTAGACACAACTAATCCAAGAAAACTTAAACCAGTTCACTTAAAGATTTTTTGTTTTCTATTATATATTATATTATATATATATATATTATTATATATATATATATATATATAATATATATATATATATATATATATATATTATATATATATATATATATATATATATGTGAAAACTCCTATCAACTTAAGTGGATAGGAAATAGTGATCCACCAAACTTTTTATCCTTGGATCTTGCCCTAGGCGACCTTGCATGATATGAAGAGACTTTTTATATTAATAAATGAGTGGCTAAAAAAGTTTGGTGGATCACTATTTCCTATCCACTTAAGTTGATAGGAATCTTCTCTCTCTCTCTCTCTCTCTCTCTCTTTCTCTCTCTCTCTCTCTCTCTCTCTCTCTCCTCTCTCTCTCTATATATATTATAATATATATTATATATATATATATATATATATATATTATATATATATATATATATATATATATATATATATATTATATGAAAATTACAGATACAGAAATTGAGTACAGAAGCAGCAAAGAAATAAATATTTTTTTATAACTAATTTAGATACAACAAATTAAAACAATTAACTAATACAATAAGTAATTATAAGATATAAAGATTCAAGTGAACAATAATCCCGATGAACAGCATTTTTTTTAATTTTAAAAAAAATTTAAATTTTTTTAATTTAAATTAACAGCAAGAAATTTTACTTAATATTCTAGATTGCTGTCAAAACAGAAATATAATAATATAAAAACCAAATTAAAGAGTTAGAAAATTCAGGCCTGATCGGGAGTAGTCGTGATGTCACTGCCCTAGAAGATTAATGACCCGCCTATCGCCCTGACGTAATTTTTCCCCTCTCCCTTAGCGGTAAAAACCCCCAGAATCAGCCGGCCTCTGCACTCGGGCGTGAGTCACAGAGCTTATGCTCAGAGGAAAACGATTGCCCAAAATATAAATATAAATATGTAGCCAAAATTTCTTGGAGAAATGAGAGTAGAGAAGGAAGAGAGCTTAGAAGTTCTTCTCTTCGTTGGTGTGTTTTTGAATGAGCTCCAAACTTGCTTATATAGGTGAAGAGAGGTGTAACCCCCGCTGAATCCAAGGGACCGTTACGCACAAATCTTGCTTCCGTTACCCCCATGCAGCCGTTACAGAACGTGTAAAATGTGCAAAATAAAAGCTTGAGAAGCAAAAATGTGTGCGTGTGCGGTGCGGCGGGGCGTGCGCGCGCGTGTGGTAGATATGCAAAGCCCACTAAACCCAAAACACTATTCAAAGCCCAATAAGGAGAGAACCATTATATACCCTATACTATTCATCTCATTTTTCAATGTGAGACTATTCACAAAGGCAAAATTGTCTTTTTATGAACAAAGCATCTAACAGATCTAGCGTCTCATCAGAATCTATGTTCTAGAGTAGTTGGTATAAAAGGATCACCAGTTTAGTGATCATTTCTGTATCTATCTTGAGGTCTAAACTCATTTTATTATCAACAAACAATTCAACTCTGTATCCATGTTTCAAATTGTCCCTTATCTCTGCATCTATATGGGGTGGTACCTTTATTTTGTATCGGTGTCCATACTTACAGGTTTTAACTATTCTCCTGGCTTCACTCCTCTCTTTCTCTCTCTTCGTTATTTCCCCCTCATTTACTCATTTAGTTCTTATTTTTGTCACCCTCAATAAGGTAAATCTCTAATGTGGGAAAAGGATTGATGAATATTTACTGAAGAAGGCGTATTATTAATCACAAGACTCCTCCCTTTTGAAAATTTGAAACTGAACTCGTCCATCTATGGAACTGAATTGGTCCAGCTACAATAGATAAGTATAGAGCACAATCACACGTGATATCTCTTTGATAATCTTTGTTGCATTTGGATGTTTAATGCACGAGAACAAAACAGAATGTGATTAACAATTCGGCGGAGCTTGAGCCAGTTATCACATGTATATTTTATGTCATGTTAACATGTAAAGTAAATTCCATTATAAGGTGTGTTCTTTTGAATTATTAGGAGCATTAAAATTAACATGCACAACAGATGCATCCTTCCATCTTCTTACTTTCAAGTATGACGTAGGATATGTGCATGTGTATTTACTTGTCGATTATGATGTAGGATATGTGCACATGTATTTACTTGTCAATACTTTTAATTCGAACATGTTTTCTCCCTTAACTTATCA